GGAGAACTCGTCTCCTTTTTCTCTAGCGCGCTCACTCTCTCGGCTGCCGTTGCCAGCCTCGCACGCCCCCCCTCTCTACTTTCTTTCTCTTTCTCAGCAAGCTATACTTATGCAGTTGTCTTCAGTCAGCGCCTGTCACGCCCTGAAAAGTGTGCTCGCGGCATGCGCAATATCCCCAGAGAAGAAGAATATTTTGCGAAAAAAATTCTGAATTTAAAGGGGAGAGGAGGTATTACTAGGCAGCAGAGATAAATAATAAATTCTATCAGAGTCGGCGCTATCGCTTATAGAAATAAGGAAGAAGACCTTTCATGGTAAGGTGCGCAGACTGCATATGCAGTAGCAGTAATACAAATCTGGTCACGTTAAACAGTGTTTTCTGTTAGCTACAGCAGGGCTTGCGAAAACTTTACTTATCATAGCACTCCTGTCCATCACCATTGTTTCCGTCTCTCACGTTAGTGCATGGGAAGTATGTAAGTAGGTGTAGTCATGAAACTAAAACAATCTGGAAATCCGCGATAAAGTTGTCATAAATTGGTAGAAACAGATCTTCGCAGCTTCTGGCGATCTGCTGCTTCAAGATAATAATATTTCTACGAATGATAATTCAAATACAGGAGCGTATTGGTGCCAGAGTTGAGACGTATAGAGTATTACTCGCTTTGAATAAAAGCGAAAGCGATGCACGTATAGTGCGCTCTCGTGTTCCACTCCCTGCCTGTGTTGTGGTGTCGTGTGTTGTGTGTGATGTGGTGTGTGTGGTGTGTGTGTGTTGTGTGTGTGTGTCGTGTGTGTGTGTGTGGTGGTGTGTGTGTGTGTGTGTGTGTGTGTGTGTGTGAGCTGTGTGTGTGTGATGGTTTATGTGAGTGTATGTATGTAGTATGTGTAGTGTGTAGTGTGTGTGGCGTGTGTGTGTGATGTGGGTGTGTGTGTGTGTGTGGTTGTGTGTGTGTCGTGTGTGTGCTTGTGTGTCACTGTGTGTAGTGTGTGTGTGTGCGCGTGCGTGCGTGCGTGCGCGTGCGTGCGTGCGTATGTGTGTTCGTGTGTGTGTGTGCGTGCGTATGTGTGAAAGAACACGTATGATACCGTACCATACAGCAATGTCTGTCGGCGTGGCTTTCTTGAATAGTACTTATAACGGCGCACTAAAAAGTGACAATATATAAACAGCCATATTTACGTCACAGGTCTGTTACACCGTGCCTGTCTTTTCGTTTCTAATATATTTAGCGGCAATTTCTAACTTTGCAATTTATATTAGGCCTACTGAACAACTCAAACTATTGAATATATACATAGAGATATGTGAGAACAAAACAATTGAAATACACGTATTATACACAGATATGTCAACGGCTAGCTTGTTTTCATTTGAGTTTTGAGGTTTTGAGTTGAGGTTGTGAGGATCTTCATAAATATCATCAGGAGTGATCTATTATTATAATTATTAAGCCACGCTTTTTGTGTTTTCATCCTCGATAATTTTCTAGCTGCATTTTGTTTATTTATGCTGTTATCGATGTAATGTATGCTTTGTTAATTATCGAAATCAATCAATCAATCAATCAATCAATCAATAATTATAATTATTATTATATATGTAATATTATTATCTATAATCTATTATTATTTAGTTCTGATAATATATATACACAAGTAATATATGATATCTAAATATGATATGTATGTATCTATATAATATGTACATGTATAATATGATATCTATCTATGTATATCAGGAGCGTATAATTACAAATATATATATTTGATGTATATGATATGCTTTACATTGCGAACAATGCCCGAAGATGGCGCTCATGCATCGTGTACAGAGGCGACGCGGTGCGGTAGACATTGTTTCGCGGGAAGTTTTTAGTGTGTTTGTAAAGTCCAAACTTGAAAACAAACAGTAATCACAATCACTAGATTTATTTGGGTAGTTAGAAACACTATGCGTGAAATTAAGCTCTAACAACAGACGAACAGGTCACTGACACGGTGACTGCAGCAGATGGGGTCGTTGTCGTATCAGACAGTAGCTCTAGCTCCAAGAAACGGTATTGCTAGGGTTAGAATACCCCTATGTACAACACGTATAGACTTGAACTTGACTATGAACTTGTATAGACAATCCGTCGCACAGCCTGGTCGGGCTAACAGTAGCTCTAGTAGTACTATAGCCCGCGTACAGTTGCCGCTGGCCAGTGGCAACTGTACGCGGGCTATACTACTAGAGCTATCGTATCAGGTACTACAGTCTACAGTCCAGATATGTACCCGAGGTAGTTTTAGGTTGTTTAGTAATAGTATTACTATTAGTATTATGTTTATATTTTTAGCTCATCTGACATAGTCAGATGCAGCTTGTAGAATCGCATGAGCGTGCGTCCGTCCGTGCGTCAACAGTTGGGCACAAATCCTAACCGCTTGACGTACGGTCACGATATTCGGGACGTCGGGGGGGGGGGAATCGTCAAAAGGAGTTAGGATGTCAAAGCTGGGGGTCAATGGTCAAAGGTCAAGAAGTGTAAAAGAAGGGGGAACATTCCTTCCTTAACTTAAGGTATAGGGAGAAAATGCAAAATTGCGGCACAAATCTAAACGGCTCGACCTAGGCTCGTGATAGTCGGTGTATAGCATCATGGTAGGAAAAGCCATCACTGTGCCGAAATTGGAGGTTACAGGTCAAAGGTCAATGGGGCACAGGGCAGATTTTAGACATTTTCTGTTTTTATGGCTTTATTGAAAGGACCATGAAATGTACTTTCTGCTGACATGCGAAGAGTAAAGCCTAGGACACACTGTGCGATTTTCTACGCTGGCCGCTTGCGATCGATAAATACGGTGCCGAATCCGCGCGGTGTGTCCGGTCTCACGGCAGCGTATTTCGCACGCGATCCCATACCACGGCTGATCGCTCGCATTCAACATGTTGAATATTTCCGCCCGGTTTTTCATCGCTTGCGTACAGCGCATGCGCTTGCATGCGCTTGCACCAGCGTGCCCAACAATGAACAATCGTGTTTGAACGCGATTGTTTTTAGCAGCCAATCAAGTGTAGCAACGAAAGCTAGGAAAGCCGTTAGAGTGGTTTGACACCGGACAGTGTGTCCAGCTGTACGCGCAACTCGTACGGCGTTCTAAAATCGTGAGCGAACATATACGCTGCCGGGCAGCGTACAGAATCGCTAGTGTGTCCTAGGCTTTAGTGTCGGATAACCTTTTGACCCTCAAAAGGAGGGTTAAACATGGATTTGTTTATTGTTAGGAAGAATTTGACTGCCGGGTAGTAGGGGTGTAACGATATACCGTTATATCGGTATATTGCAATATATTTTGAAAACTCGATATATCGCGATACAACTTCCGATATCGTATTTTACGAGGTCGTGGGTATAACAAGAGAATAAAATTACCTTGACAGCTTACTTAAGTCTATATAGTTAATCGCCTCGAAATTATGCTTACTGGGGTGTGTGTGGGTATGTTATATTACCGAAAACATCAATGCCTACACGTACGTGCATACAGTATTACTTGGGTAAAGCGCAGCCACTGCGTGGAGCAGCTGCGCGGCCGCCCTCGCCGGTGGTACTACTGCCGGCGCCAAGTGCAGAACGTCTGAGCGATGCAGGAGCCCGATCACGGCAACCAGGGGGAGTCATATATAGAGCTATTGCTTACCTGATCGATGCCGCGCTTTGCGGGCTCCCTGCGCGCCCCGCTACAAGCTGAATCGCGCGAGCACCACTGCACTGTTCAGTCTTCCAGCTCTCTAATTTCAGTATTCAGTATCACGCCAATTACGTCGCAGCAGCGTGTATTGTGTATTCGAGCCCGGCAGTGCCTTTTCAGAGCGGTATTCAGCTACCAGCGTCCGGTGACATTCGTGTACCGGCACAGAGGATCTGCACCCAGAGGGCGCAGAATCCAGCGGGGGACAAGGCGGGACATGCCCACTGAATTTTCAGAGGCGGGCGACTCATATCAAATGT